GTCAAACACAAGGTGGACACAGGAACCCCAGAGAAGAGGGAGAGGAAGGATTGTAGGAGCCAGAGGGGCCGAGTACACCACTTAGAACAGGGCCCACAGAGTTAACCGAGCAGGGCTCATAGAGGCTCCCAGAGACTGAAGCAACAAACATGGACCGTGTATGGGTCTGAGCTAGGTCCTCTGCAGATATGTTATGGTTGTGTAGCTTGATGTTCTTGTGGACTCCCAACAATGGGAGTGGGAGTATCTCTTGACACTTTTGCGTGTGCTTGGAACTGTATTCCTCCAACTGGGTTGCCACATCCAGCTGTGATATGAGGGGCTTTGTGCCCAGTCGTACTGAATCTTGTTAGGCATGTTCAGTGGCTATCCCTAGGAGGCCTGCTCCTTTTTTTGAAGGGAAACAAAGGAGCTGTTGATCTGGGGGAAAAGGGACATAGGGCAAGGGACTGGGAGGAGTAGAAGGAAGGAAAACTGCAGTTGGGATTAATGTATAACAAAAGAATTAAAGCTAAATATAAATTTAAAAGCATAGTGATTACTCTTGATCTTTAATTTTTTTTTTCAGATAGGGCTTCACTATGTAGCTCTGGCTGTCCTGGAACTCACTACTACATAGACCAGACCAGCCTTGAAAAAACGAGAATGTATAATAATACACAATCTGGGATAACATATAGTCTCAGAGTTTAGGAGATGCTGACTCTTCCACACTCACTACCATAATGCTTCCAATGACAGAAGCAGGGAAATATTAGCGATCATTTAACAAAGCAGACAATAACCTGCTTACTTGCAAACTGACATAGCATACTTGAGTTTTGGCAGGACTTCCCAAATGTGTCACAAATGATTGCAAACAATGACTGCTCCCAGAAACCTTTCCTTTTTAAGGCGGTACTGGATACACAACCCAAGCCCTGCTGCATGCTAGCCAAGTGCACTGCCACTGAGCTACATCCTCAGTCCCAGAAGAGACTTCTTGGTGACTACTTCTTTAGAAATCTCTGTATTCTAAAGAAAACAATCCATGCTTCAGAACAGCCTCACACTCCTACCCCAACCCCTGCAGTATGTTTAGCACTCCCAGATGCCACCTGTTAAATGATAACCTTCTTGATAATCATTGCTACAGCCAGAAATGCCCCGGGAAAATGATAGTGGGATAGTCTTCTACCCTTTTCTTCTTAGGATCTATCACTACAATTTACTCTCTTCTGGGAGCTTACATGGCAAATGGCCATATAATAGAAATAAAACATACTATTTTTTCCAGAATGAATTACTGAAAACTTCTAAGCTATATTGGACCTTTGCTGTGTCTGTTTTATCAATTATCGCGTGTGTACACATGCACAGGCATACAGGTCACAATGCACATGTGAGGTCAGAACGTAACTCTTAGAAGTCTATTCTTGCCTGCCATCTTGTGGGATCTTGCATTTGGACTCAGGTTGTAAGGCCTCTAGTCAAGCATCTGCTAAGTGACTGGCACACAGGCAATATTACTTAATTCCAAATATTATGACAAGGTTATCTAGACACATGCCCATTTGTCTGCTTTAAAAGCACAGTTCCTTTTCAGATGGTCTCCCTAAATTTATGACACAATTATGAAAAATCTGGGCTAAGAATTTAGCTCAGTGGTAAAGCAATGCTTAGCATGTATGAGGTGTGAGTTTCATTCCCAGAAACACACAAAAGTAAAAGGAGAAGGAGGACGTGTGGAAAGACTTACAGAAACGGTAAGGTACTTATTTCAGGGGTTTCTGAGATACACTGCAAGCTGACCAAAGGTTATACCAGCAAAAACACTGTTCTGGTAGTATTTCTTTATAATTGTGGCTCATAAATTAAAGCTTGACTAGAATTATGGGAGTGGTAAAACAAATTACTGAGTCACCTGTAGGGCTTAACTCAGTAAATCAAGAGGAGGGCCTAACGACTTTAATATCTGAGAAGTTCCCAAGTGGTATTGACACTACCATACACTTATTGAGAATTAGACCTTCATAATCTTTCTTCACTAGCTAAGCATGGTGGCACACATCTTTAATCCCAGCACTCAGGAGGCAGAGGCAAGCAGAGCTCTGTGAGTTTGAGGCCAGCCTCATCTACAAAGTGTGTACCAGGCCAGTCAAGGCTACACAGTACAATACTATCTTTTTAAAAAAGATGTCTTCACTACCTACTAATGCTCCATGTTCCATTGGCTTTTAAAAGTGGTCATAAACATATAGAGAAACACTATAAAAAATAGGAGGAATTTAAACACAATTTTTCCAGGCTACCCTATTTCTAACTCTCCATTCTCCCACCCAAACTATAACCCACTCTAAGGATAAAAAGGAAAACAAATCTGAGCTCAATGTTTGGACATTGGTTCAATTTGCAGTTAACAGCTATGTGGGAGAGCTGGGTATGTAGCTCGGTTGGTACAATGCTCCCCCAACACAAACAAACACTGGAAGTGATTCCTAGCACCACCCAAACTGAATACAGTGCTCTACTCCTACAGGCCTAGCACTTGGAAAGCACTTGAAGGAGGATCAGTAGTTCAAAGCCAGTATCATCTGCACAATAAGTTTGAGGGCCACTTGGGATACATGAGACCCTGTATGAAAAAAGAAAATGAAAATGATATGTGTTGGGCTGGAGAGATGGCTAAGAGGAAAAAGCATTTGTCATATATGCCTGATAACCTGACTTCAACGTTCAGAACCCATGGACAGTGGAGGGAGCAAAACAACCCCACAGCATCGCCTTCTGACCTTCCCACATACTGTTGCCATGCATGTGTACAGGTGGGTGTAATACATAAACACATGGATTAATAATAGTCCGACATTTGAAAAACTCTTGATTTTAGGTATTGTAACAGCACCACTTTAACAGGTGACATAGTATCTGGGTTCCTCTAAAGAATAGTCTAAGGAAAAGTAAATAGTGAAAGGCAGTTTGGGGTAGAGACATCATTCAGCAGCTAAGAAAACACACTGCTCTTCCAGGGATCCTAAGTTTGGCTGCCAGTGGATGGTTCACAATCATCAGTAAACTTTAGCTCCAGGGAATCCAAACTTTCGGCCTCCAAGGGTACCTGTACTCACATACACACGCCCACACCCATACACTTATTAAAAAAAAATGTTCTTAAAAAGTCGCTAAATTGAGTTGCTAACTGTTGAAACTGGATGACAGATACATAGGTGCAGTGGTTAGTCTTCATTCTTAACTTGACAGGATCTAAAATCAGCACGGAAACAAACCTCTAGACATGTCTGTAAGAGATTATCTAGGAAGGCTCACTCTAAACAGAGGTGGTGGCATTTAGGGCTGCAGTCTTGAGAGCAAGCATTCCTTGTTCTCTGCTTCCTGAGCTTCCTAAATATGGACAGACTGTGAGCAGCTGCCTCGTGTTCCCACAAGCACGCCTTCCCCACCATAACAGACTGCACCCTCTCTACTGTGAGCCACATAAACCCTCCTCCCTTAAGCTGCTTTTGTTAGGAATTTTGTTGTTGCAACAAGAAAAGTAATATACTAGGGGTTGACAACATTGTACTTGTGAGTGTGTGTGTGTATGTGTGTGTTTCTATATTTGAAATTTATTTATTTACTTATTTATTTATTTTGGTTTTTCGAGACAGGGTTTCTCTGTAGCTTTGGAGCCTGTCCTGGAACTAGTTCTTGTAGACCAGGCTGGTCTCGAACTCACAGAGATCCGCCTGCCTCTGCCTCCCGAGTGCTGGGATTAAAGGCGTGCACAACCACCACCCAGCTGAAATTTATTTATATTATCGATATAATTTTTTTTTTGGTTTTTCGAGACAGGGTTTCTCTGTGGTTTTGGAGCCTGTCCTGGAACTAGCTCTTGTAGACCAGGCTGGCCTCGAACTCCCAGAGATCCGCCCGCCTCTGCCTCCCGAGTGCTGGGATTAAAGGCGTGTGCCACCACCGCCCGGCTCGATTTATAATTTTAAAAGCATTTTATTCCTCGAGAATTTCATACAATGTACTTTGATCATATTCAGCATCTCCTCCCCTTAACTCCTCCCACCCTATGCTCCTTCAATTCCATGTCCTCTTTTTTGAATGTAATAAGCCATCAACTCCTGTCCATTTGTGCTGTTCACATACTTCTGGTAGCATGGTCATTCACTGGGGCATGGTCAGTTGACCAGGAGTCATACTCTTAAAGAAACAAAATGTATCCCACAAGTTGACTGTCCTTAGCTACTCAGCAGCGGAGGCTCCATGCTAGCATACTGACTGGCTTGTTCTTATGTGGGTCCTGTGCAGGTAAGCACAGGTGCTGTGAGTTCCTGAGTGCGGTGGTCCTGGTATGTGCAGAAGACGCTGCTTCATTCCAGTCCACCCAGAGATGTAACCCGCACGATCTTGGTGCTCTATCAGCTCTCCTTTCCATTATGCTTACAACTCCCTGCAGTATAAACTCTGTAAACACTAAAGAATCACGTGGCTGACAGGATATAAGAGAATCCAAATAGGCAGAAAGAATCAAAATATCCTGATTATGCAGTTCCTAAAAAAATTCAGTCTTTCAGTTTGTGGGTAAAGCATACATTTAATGGAAAAATCAAATTCATTTTTAACTCCAAAGCCAAAATAAATTAAGGTATGTAAACAAAATACACCTCAGGAACAAAACCTCTCATTAAAATTGGCTCAACATATAAAACTGCATTATATAAAGTAAATTAAAGTAAATGGAAGTCAAAGCTATATTGTAATTTCAGCTTTCCTGCCTTTATTGCTATATTACCTAGTACCAAGTCATTCAAAAAGGTTGCTTTTTGGTTTACGTAAAAAATAGTAACTTGGAAATTTTACTTTTCTTTCAGGACTGTGGGAATGAAATGTGAAGAGTAACTAAAAGTTCTACTAATTATGTACATGAAATAAGTAAGTCTCACGCCATACTATTAGATTCTATATGCACAGTTTTATATAGATCATCTCTGTGACGATCACAGGATAACTCACAGAGGACTGCTTGTCACCGGTTGCACGTGGGCATCCATCGAAAGCCACAAGAGCCAGTTCTGCAGTAGTTCTTTCAGGCTTTGAAGAAGACTACACTGAGGGGGAAACAAAACAAAATCATCCAAAGCAAACAGTATTTAGACCCAGCAGAGGCTAGAAATGGAAGGGACCTTGGATGGCCATAGCCACCTAGAAGTCAAATAGTTGCTATTCCCACGTGTTCCGTCTACAAAGGGCAGATGAATGCAAACACAGATTTGTGCTAGCACTTTTTTTCTAGGAGAAACATACCTCAACAAGACTTCCAGCTTAGCCCAGGAACAATGCTCTCTAAATCACATTCCTCTATAACACACATTACATCATCAAATAAACCATCACCATTTGGCCAGGCAGTTGTGGCACACACCTTTAATCCCAGCACTCGGGAGGCAGAAGCAGGTGAATCTCTGTGATTTCAAGGACAGCCTGGTCTACAGCAAGTTCTAGGATAGGTTCCAAAGCTACACAGAGAAACTCTGTCTTAAAAAAGCAAAAAGAAAGAAAAAGCATCACCCTTGGCCATGCATGGCAGCACAGATCTACAATTCCAGCACTTAGGAAGTAGAGTTAGGGAGCTAAAGGAGTTCAAAACCAGTGTTATCTGCATACCAAGTTTGATGTCAACCTGGGCTGCATAAGAAAATCATCCTTATTGTCACCTCAGAGATCATTTGAAGTTGTTACAAGTAAGACTTCTCTACCCCTTTTACTTTGTGGTCTTGGAGTACAAGATACTTGCTGATAGTTTTAAAAATGAGTCTCCTGTAACTCTGGAAAACAAACATTCCTAATCTTTATGTTCTCAGACTTTATCCTGTCTTTCCAGGCCTCATTCAGAATTCTTTATCTTCACTGAGTCTCATTTTGAGCCTGAAAGTTAAATACTGTTCTCTATTCTTGATTCATCTCCGGTTGCCTTTTCTCTTTTTCTCCCTCCTTATCCCCATCCCCTACTCTCATACATAAATAGTATGTCTAAATGAATGTTAAATCATGAACAACTGCTAATTATCAACCACCCTGACCCACAAAAATGACAAGTGCCTACGGTTCAAAGCTAACTCAACAGCTCTTTAGATTGATGGGATGAGTGAAGAAATTAAAAAGAACTCAACTAGACGATTAGGAGAGAATTGCAATTTTTTTTTCAAAATAGTCTCTGAAAATTTATTAGCTAGGATAACTGGGATTTTCATTTGAATGACAGTGGTTATACAGCAGTGAGTTACAAGTAAAATAAAATGAGCAAACTCAAGTTAATGTGATAGGCAATTAAGTGATATGAAACAAATTGTGAGACACACTGACCAGAACAACCTATTTTTCCTATAAATGTGGCCAACAGTGAGTCATTTCAGGTGTCAAACGTCTGTAGGAGAAATAGTCTATCGTCACTGCTCTCCCAGAGGAATGACTTCAATGGGAAAGTGGCTCAGGTGTTTGGTTGGCTTTGGTTGCTACTGCACTCGCACGGTTGTGATGAAGAGCTAAAGCAGAACATCCTACAGCCTGGAAAGCAGAGGCAAGAAGACAGATGCACGTAAAAGGTCATTCTGAGTTCCAGGGAAAACTGGGCTACATAGTTAGACCCTGTCTCAACTTCACATCCCCACATCCCAGAAAGCCTCAAAAAAGGGTAATTAGTATATGTATGAAATAAACAAGCATTATGGTCAAATAACTGGCAAAGCATTATGATAAAACCACCCTTATGTTCTTAGAGACTGGAACTTTGGCTGGACCTCACAGTCTGAGTTAAGAACACACATTGAGGTCACTTAAAACTTAAGGACCTGCTAGCCTACTGGGTATCCAGCCTGTTTGTTTATCCTGTCTTTATGAGAACAATGTAACAATCACCCTTACTTGCCTTGAACTTCCTGTGTCATCTGATTTTACAATCCAAGCTAGTACATAGCTGTAACCTTAAGTTATGTGCTTTTCCATGTCCCCAACCCAGAAAAATGTATGTGGCTGTTTTTGTTTTGCTTTTTTGCTGAAAGCAGCAAATACGGAGAATGAAAGTAACCCTCTAAAGGGACTATCCACCAGAAATGTTGAACACAACACTTACAGATTAAAGAATGACATTTGAAGTTCTGTTTGTTGTCTGGGTTAGTTGGAACCAGTGGATTAAACCCTTGTAAAAGTCTGTTAAAGATTTCAGCAAAGAATCATATTCTTGCTCTTGGAGAAATGACCCCAAGGGGAAGGACATTAATTTCTTTAATGTGATACTGATGCGCTGTTAGTGGCTCGGAGTTAATAACAATGCATTCAATCCACACAAAAAATATAATGGTACTCCAAGTACTGTTGAGTATTTCCCAGTTAGTTTGTTTTTACATTCAAGTTAATATGCATTTGACACGCTTTTTGTGATCTCATTTGCTGCTTACTAGTGTAACAATTCAGGAAAAAGGTGTGATGAAGCTTTCAAACCAGAAAGTTCTACACACTTGAACTTTCTATTCCATAATACAGTGCAGTTACAAAATGAATGCGGAGGCTAGTGTGGTGAAACACACCTGTACTGTCAACACTGGGGAAGCAAGGGCCAGGAGAACTGCTGTGCAGCCTTGTCTATATAACAAATTCCAGGTAGGCATTGGCTACAATAACTAGCAAACCCTAATATCAAAAGAAAGAATGGGAATGGATGGAGGGAGGAAGGAAGGAAATCGTTGCTGGAAGACTAGACGTGCATTTCAATTGGTAGAGTGCTTGCCTAGCATGCATGAAAGCCTGGGTTTGAACCCCATCATCTCAGAAACTGGGTATGACACTGCATGAGTGTAATTCCAACACTCGGGAGGGGGGGACAGGAGAAGCAGAAGTTCAAAGACATCCATACCTACACAGAAGGTTTATTGGGTTTGACCCAGACCGGGCTACATAAGAAAAGAAAAAAGAAAAAGAGAAAAGGAAAGGAAGGGAAGGGAAAGGGAAGGGGAAGGGAAGGGAAGGAGGGGAGGGGAGGGAGAAGGAGGAGGGGTAGGGAAAGGAAATGGAAGGGAAGGGAAAAGAAAAGTGGAAGGAAAGAAGGAGGAAGGAAGGAAGGAAGGTAGGAGAGAAAAAAAAAGGTAGGCAGGTAAAATGACTCAATGGGTGTAAAGGAACTTGCTGCCTAGCCTGACAACCTCAGTTCTAGGCCCAGAACACATGTGGAGAAAACCACAAGTTGACCGCCAAATTTCCATTTGATGGCACATTTATTGTGGCGTATACACAGTAACACACACATGCACGCACACACACATACACTCTAAATGTTACAACATTTCAAAAGAGAAGAAGAAAGAAATTTACTGCCAAAATTCCAGTTTCGAATTATTTAACACCAGTTAATAGAAGTATGCTTTTTCTTCAGTATAAGTAAGATTTATTTAGGGTTCTTTTGTTTGTTTTTGGATTTTTACCTTGAAATAAATTGTTGATGAAAAGAAGAGAGGTGCTAGATGATTAAAAAGAAGTGGCTTCATCTCTAGGAAATAGAAAATGAGAGTATTCAAAATAGTTTTAATTTATATCACATTGAATTAAACGAGTTCAAGTTGTAGTTTAAATGAGAACCACTTAAGCTCAGACGTTTCAAAACTTGGTCCCCAGTTGGTGGCACTATTCAAGTAGGTTTAGGAATCTTGGCCTTGCTGAAGGAAGTATGTCACTGGAGATGGGCTTTAAGGTTTCAATGCCAAGCACCATTCTCAGTCCACCCTGCTTCGTGCTTGTGGTTTAAGATGCAAGCCTTTCGATTCCTGGCCCCACCTCTATGCCTTTGCTCTACTGTCATGGATTCTAACCCTCTGGAACCATAAGCCAAAATAAACTCTTTCTAAGTTGCCTTAGTCATGGTGTTTAATCACAGCAAAAGAAAAATAACTAATAACTTTTCATAATACATACCAGAGAAGCTACTGAATGGAACCCAGGTCAGAAGCTGAAGGAAATGTGACTGACAGGAGAAGCCATCCCAGAGAGGCAGGCTCTTATACAGGAACGCTTCACAGGAGTAAAACCCCTCCTGAAACACAAGGTGATTGCAAAATCTCATACAGAATCATGAATACTCTAAGCTAGATAATGGCAACGTATGCCTTTAATCCAATACTTCGGAGGCAGAGACAGGCAGATCTCTGAGTTCAAGGCCACCCTGGTTCCAGGACAGCAGGGCTGCACAGAAAAACCCTGACTCAAAAACAAACGAAAAATATTTTTTTGTGAGTTTGAGGCCAGCCTGGTCTACAAAGCAAGTTCTAAAACAGCCAGGCTGTTACACAGAGAAATCCTGTCTTGAATAAGCAAAAACAAACAAACAATAACAAAAACCTAAAACAGCCATTTGTTAGTCCAGCCAAGGACTCCATAGAGAAACTGTGTCTCAAACTAAAAATCAGAAATACTCTCTAACAACCACTCTATTTTGTGCTATAGCTGTTTCAGAGGCATGAGAGCAACAGACAGAGACAATTCAAGAGTTCTAGCTTCAGCTACAACTCAGAGATACCTAGGACAAATGATTCAGATGCTGAAATACATCTCAAACTCCAAAAGATTCATAGCTATTCATAGCTATTAAACACATAAGTCATGTGCTGGAGCTGGAGCTCAGTTGAGTGCTTGCCTAATTCCAGAACCACCTAAACTGGGTGTGGTCATGCACAGCCAGCATTCAAGGGGTAGAGGTAGGAAGATCTAATTAGGAGTTCGAAGTTATTTTCAGCTACATACTAATTTTATGGCCAGCCTGGGTTAATGAGGCCCTGTCAAAGGATTAAGTAATTAAAAAGAACACAAGTCATGGGCGGAGGATGTGGATCAGTGGTAACTAAGTGTTCACACAGTATGCACAAGGCTGCCAAAAAAAGAACACAAGAAACAACCCTATAAGATTTATATTGCTAGCTAATTCAATTAATTGAATGCATTAAATCATTTATTTTGTTAAAATTATAGAACTTTCTACTAATTTAAAATTTTAAACTTACTCTTTCTTCAAACATGATAGTGTAAAAATAAACATCATTCCAACTTTGTTCTATAAATTTCAAATTGAACAAATAGTATCTTTTGAAAAAGCCAAGAATAAGGAAAATAAATAAGTAAAAATAAAAATCAATGGCTTAGGGTATGATTCAGTTGGTAGGATGCTTGCCTCGTATGCACAAGGACCTTAGTTTGATTCCCGATACTGCAAATAACCAGGTGTGGTGGACATGTCTGTGACACATGAAACCCTATCTCTAAAACTGAAAACGTCAACTACAAGAAAATACTACAATGGACATCCAAATAAATCTTAAGAATAATAGCATCTATAGAAAACAAATGGAATCTTACTTGTAAGAAGCACTGCACCCTGATGACAATGTCCAGCAAGTTTACAAATTCTTTTTCTTGTTCATAATTATTCATATTATACCATACACATTCTAGAGCAGAAATATTAAAAATTGGCATCTGGTTATGCAATAAAAATGAAACAAAATATATCACTACTCTGAAGTGACAAAGAAAAGACAGATTAAAATGTTGTAAGATTGGACTACCCTAAGTGACATTGTAGATTATAACAGGGATTTGCAAGTGACAGTCAACAAACAGTAACACAGGGGAAAGTTTATAGTAAAAGCACTGGGAAAGTTCACTTATAATGAATAAGATTAGGTTCAAGTCACAGTAACGCAAAGGACTATAAATGCACAGCTGAAAATAGGTAGGGTGAGTTGAGTATAGACTACAAGTGGTGAGAACTTACCCTTATCCCATATTAACTGCATCACATATCCCACAAAGAAATACTCTATGTCAAAGGAGCAATAGCCTATAGTGACTAAAACTGACTTCAAAGATTTGAATAGTCAGGAATTACATATCCACGAAATAAGTACTCTTGATAGTCAACGAACTTACTAGGGAAAATGTCACTGTGGATAATAAAGTGGCTTTACTATGGCCTGCATGAAAGACTCCCCACTGTCACTTCCTTTAATTCCATGAGTAAAAAATTTTCTAACGACCGATGTGCCATTAGAGGAGGTAATCTACTTGGCACACATGAGTATTTTGGTTAACAGAAAGAATCACTTCTATTATAAAATAATAAGCTGATATCCTGTCTTATAAATTGATTTTCTCTGAGTTGGTTTACTATTAATGGTTCTTGCACACTCCCAGGAATACAAAGAACTCTGAGATTGAGGCCAGCCATCTGGTAAGTTTTGATGATCATTTAGCAGTGTTCACCTAATACCACTCCCTTTTGAATGTCTTAAAATGACAACACCATGTTCATGTTCAACATATTGTACCAGATGACTATAGCATATAATCTCTGGCCTAGAATTTCTAATCTTAAATAAGAAATTATTTTTCTTAAAGATTTATTTATTTAGTATGTATGCCTGCAGTCCAGAAGAGGGCACCTGATCTCGTTACAGATGGTTGTTAGTCACCATGTGGGTGCTGGTAATTGAATTCAGGACCTCTGGAAGAGGAACTAGTGCTCTTAACCTCTGAGCCATCGCTCCAGCTCTAGAATAAGAAATGTATCTACAAACTATCTTTTTCCACTCCCATTTAAACAGTAGTTTACACCATCAATTCTTACCTTCTTGCAATGCTTGACTCAACCAATAATAGAGCCTCAGTAAGATTGACTCATCTTTGACACAATTAATATAGTGAAGCAGCAGAGAGTTGTTTAGCACGGAACTCATCTGCGAAGGCAGCTGTAAAATGGAACAATCAACAATAAGTATATGAAATGTAGGTCCCAACAATAAGCAAAACATTAAATAGGAAACATACAACAAAAATAGAGGATATGGTGCCTGAGATAAGGTTTAGTGTATAGGATTTCTCAACATGTGTGAGGCTGAGTCCAAACTCAAGTACTGAAAACAGAGGCTATCCAGAACACACAGAAAATTCGCGTCAGTCCCTGCTCCAGTCACATACCTCTAAGCAATGAATGTTCTGTAAAAGGTGAGGGAAACTTTGAAGCTCTTCTAATGGAAATGACGTACTGCTGCTGAAATAATCAGAGAGACTCCACATCTTTTCCCCACAGTCTTTGTTAGCAGAATTGAGTGCTGGTATAACGGAGAGAGAACTCCATTTCTAAAGAAGAAAGATAATACAATAATCTGTCAGTGCACTAAAAAGACAATCTAAAAAAATTAAAGCAAGTCAGATATGGTGATATACTTTTTTAATCCCAGTACTCAGAGACAGAGGCCAAGCCTAATCTACATAGCAAGTTTTGGGTCATCTGAGGCTATATTTTAGAAAGCTACAATCTCAAAAATAAATAAATAAAATCAGTTATTAAGCTGTTTCACTTAATGGAAGTATGAATGTGGTTTACATAGAATACTAGATTATCAACATCTATTTAAATACCTATGATCAGGGCTGGAGAGATAGCTCAGTGGTTAAGAGTACTGGCTGCCCTTTCTGAGGACCCAGGTTCAATTCCCATCACCCACATGGCAGCTCAAACCTGTCTATAAATCAGTTCCAGAGAATCTGATACCCTCACACCAATGCACATAAAATAAAATACATAAGCCGGGCGGTGGTGGCGCACGCCTTTAATCCCAGCACTCGGGAGGCAGAGGCAGGCGGATCTCTGTGAGATCGAGACCAGCCTGGTCTACAAGAGCTAGTTCCAGGACAGGCTCCAAAGCCACAGAGAAACCCTGTCTCGAAAAACCAAAAAAAATAAATAAATAAAATAAAATGCATAAAACACCTATGACCACCACCATCTGAATGGCTACTATTTTTAAAACTACAGTCCTTTGTTGCTTTAGATTACTTACTCTTTTTAGAGAACAGCTCTTAGTTGGACCTAACGTCAGCTTTGGAGGTTCTGGAAAAGCTCGCTGGTTTCTTAGCTTCACAGCAACCAGAGCTGAAGTCCATAGGTTCTTTGAATTATTAAAATAGATCTACAGATTTAGGTATAAAGTACAGAAGATTAGGTACTTACGAGTAAAAGCAACATAATAAGAGTACCAAAGTATTAACTGGTTGCATATTAATTATGAAATATTTATACTCTTATAAATCCATTTAATGCTTTTATCCTTTCCTAATCAGAAATCTACTATAATGCATCAAAGGGATCAACACTACGAAAGGGTAATCTCTAATATGACTTCTCCCAAAAGAGTTGGGAAAGATTTTAGCCCAAATCTTTAAATTAACTTTATGGAAAAATAATGAATTTTTTTAGGGGTTGTGGTATACACCTGTAATCCTGACGTTTGGGAAGCCAAGGAAGGAAGAAGAGTTAAGGCTAGTCTGAGCAACCATACCAATGAAGCACAATTAATAAAAACTGGCTCTTACCTCTACCTCAGTCCGAAAATGATGATCCTGCCTCCAGGAATCTCAAAATGAGACTGAACCTGTGAGCTGTCTCCTTCGGTCTTAAAGTCTTCTCTAGGGCTTGGATTAAAGGTGTGCATTGATGGGATTAAAGGTATGCACTGCCCGGTTTCTATGGCAACAACTACTGTGGCTACTGGGATTAAAGGTGTGTGTTACTACTGCCTGGTCTGTAAGGCTGACCACTTGGGCTGTTTTACTTTCTGATCCTCAGGCAAGTGTTGTTTACTAAAATGCAAATGAAATGCCACTACATACAACTCTTTCTCAAACAAAACAAAGTAAATAAAAATGTATTCGATCTCAGTAGGACTTATCTCTCAGTAATCCCTTACCTTCCTCCTCATAGGCAACGATACAGAAATCAAAGTAGGAGCAAAGGTCTTATATAGTGACAACAAAGCCTGGAGATGAGGCTGCAGGCCCTGAAATAAAGTAACAATTTTCCATTTTCAATTCAGTGGCCAAATACAAATTAAGAGCTAATACTAAACAAAAAGCTATAAAAGCTAAGTCCAAACCTTTAGACTCTAATTTTATAATCTGACAGAAAAATAAGAAGCTATAAAAAGTATAGAAATAAGTAACCATCTGGATGTGGTGGCACACACCTTCAATCCCAACAACCAGGAAGCAGAAGTAGAAAGAAACGGACCTCTATATGAGCTCAGGACCAGTCTTGTCTACGTAGACAGTGCCAGGCCAGCAAGGGCTAAAAGTGAGAAACTGTCTGTGCTGGCTAGTTTTTATGTTAGCATGATACAAGGGGGGGGGTCATTTGGAAAGAAAGAATATTTATTGAGAAAATGCCTCCATAGGATTGTCCTGTAGGCCAATCTGGAGAGCATTTTCTTGACTGATGATTGATATTCAAGGGCCCAGCCCACTATAAGTGGGGCCACCCCTGGAGAGAGGCAGAGACCTGCATCGGAGCACTGGACTAAGCTCCCAAAGTTCAGTTGAAGAGTGGGAGGAGTGAGAATATAAGCAAAGAGGTCAAGACCATGATATATAAACCCACTGAAACAGTTTACCTGAGCTAATGGGAGCTCAGACAGGGAAGGAAGCAGCATAGGTCCAACTAGACCCTCTGAATGTGGGTGACAGTTGTATGGCTGAGGCAGACTGCAGGACCATTGGCAGTGAGACCAGGATTTATTCCTACTGCTTATACTGGCTTTTGTGGAACCCATTCTCTTTGGATGGATACCTTGATCAGCCTAGATATGGTGGAGAGGGCCTTGGACCTTCCCCAAAGCAATGTGGGGGGGGGGTTAGGTAGAGAGAGAAGGATGAGGGGAGGGAGTGGGAATGAGATTGGTATGTAAAATGAAAAAGATTGTTTTCTTCTTAAAAGTAAATAAAAAGAAAATATGTAATTTTTTAAAAAAGAAAGAAAATAGGCTAAGCAAGATGAAATAAACCCTTTCCTCCCCAAGGTGTTTTTAGCTATAGCAATAGAAACCCTAACTAAGACACTGTTAAAATCATCTGACACTCTTACAAAGGACCCAGGTTCCATTTGCAGCACCTACATGGCAGCTCACAGTATCTGTAACTCTACTTCCATGAGTTCTGACACCTTATTCTGGACCATTCCAGCCCTCTACACATGTGATGCACATATATACATGCAGGCAAAATACCCATACATATAAAACAAATAAATCTTTAAAAAATAAAAAAAAAAGGCTAGAGAGATGGTTCAGAGGCTAAGAGCACTGACTGCTCTTCCTGAGGTCCTGAGTTTAATTCCCAGCAACCACATGGTGGATCAAAACCATCTATAATGAGATCTGGTATCTTCTTCAGGACTGCAAGCATACAGACAGACAGAACACTGCATATATAATAAATAAATAAATCTAAAAAAATATAAAAATAAAATAAAGCAAACTGGGTGTGGTGGCATATGCCTTTAGTTCCAGTACTCTGGAAGGGGAAGCAGAGGAAGGTAAATCTCTCTGAGTTTGAGGCCAGCATGGGCTACACAGCAAGTTCTAGGACTGCCAGGGCTACACAGTAAGACAGTATCTCAAAACAGAAAAGAAAACTGTCTCAAAAAAAAAAAAACAAAAGAAAACAAGTAAATAAATAAAGCATACTCATCTTTGAATTAAATATCAAGGAGATAAAACCAAGTGTTAAAGTCAAGAAAACAGAGCAGAGGAGATGTTAATTTAACAGGAACACTTGATCATCATAAACCCTGCAAAATTCATTAAGAAGGCCAACGAAGCTTGTGATATTCACGTAAGCCACTTGATATAATTGCTGTTGTTGACTGACCACTCAATCTTCACAGCTGCCCTCTCTAGTGGTATACAATAGTCAAGAAGCTTGACACAACCAAAGTCTCCCAAAGTACTAACTTCCGAACTGAGCAAACAGCTGTCAACAAAGTACATGCCTAAGTTCCATCCCCAGAACCCAGTTTTAAGAAGTCATGTGTGGCGGTATATATTTGTAATCCCAGTGTTAGAGAGGCAGAGACAGGTGCATCCTGGCCTTTCTTTGCCAGTCATTCACTTGCCTAGCCTACCTGGCAAGCTGCAGACTAGTGAGAGGTCCCATCTTAAAAAAAAAGATGGACAGGGACTGATAAAATGGCTCAACATGTAAATACGACTGTAGCCAATCCTGATGACATGAGTTCACTCCCTTAGACCTGAATGATGGAAGGAGAAAACCAACTTTGTCCTCTGATGTCCATAAGCACACCATGGCACATGCGTATCCACACATATACACAGAGTGAGAAAGACTCATACACACAGTAGATAGACAGATAAAGTGGGGGACAGCTCCTGAGGAATGACACCCAAGACTGTCCTCTGCTTCCCTGTACACTCACACACACATGTATATCCTTGTAAACATGTGCACACACATATACATCCTAACTTTGGAGTCTGGGGATTGTCTCAGTGGTAGTGCTCTTGCCTAGCATGTGTAAAGTCGTGGGTTCAATCTGTAGCAACACACACACATACACACAATGTAATATATACATATATCATTGTTTTAAAAAAATACATATTATTGTAGACATCTTTACTGTAGACTTATTGTATAGCTAACAACTTATCATTTGGTGAAAAATGAACATATTGTACTGGAGACTGAACCAAGACCTCATGCATGCTAGACAAGTACTCTACTCATTGATATATACCTCCAGTTTTGATAGTGAGTTTCCATTTTGTTGACTAAGTTCTCAGAAAGTAAGTTCTTTCAAGCTAAGGTGCACTTGGCTTTGTATCTCCCTCCAAAACCTAGCTCAATACTAGCTTAAAGTGCAACTGGATACTCTACGGTATTTTCTGTACTCACCATTTTGACCTGAAGATTAAGCAATTTTCTCACGCGAAATGGTTTGACTAGAAAACAGAAAAAAAGAGGTTCTAAGCATTTGCCTCAGCAAAAGAAGTCAGTTATACTTAACCACCATGTAATTCATATAATTTCTTTTTACAACACATTAAAAATATAAATACGTCCTTAGTTAAGCCACTATGCAGATGTTTTAGATAAAAGTACTAAAAAAAGCAATTTTTAGAAAAATGAATGCTGTCACCTAACTAATGCTAATAATTTTTTAAGCTTCAAAAGGACCAAACAAATGCGGACGATATGAATAAAAGTAAGATGGCTGCAATGGAAACACTCACCATTCTCCTTTTTAGTCAGTACATATAACAAACGGCACACATGGGGGCACTGTTAAAATATAAAAAAAACAAGAAAAATGACAATATTATTTGAACAAAATATATTCAATGTTATTTGAACAAAATAACACCATGTCCTCCTCAAATGTCAATCATATCCTAAGTAAAACAACTTTAGGGCTATACTGAACAATAGCTTTACAAAGCATTCTCTTATTACACAATAGGCTGAGCATTCTTTATCAAAAAATCCTTGACACCAGAAGTGACTATACACTGAGATATTTCCATGTATTTAATGAAAAAGCTAAAGGATACCCAGCACTCGGGAGGCAGAGGCAGGCGGATCTCTGTGAGTTCGAGACCAGCCTGGTCTACAAGAGCTAGTTCCAGGACAGGCTCCAAAACCACAGAGAAACCCTGTCTCTAAAAAACCAAAAAAAAAAAAAGCTAAAGGATGATACCCAACAAGCTGGATTGTGGGAGTACAAACCTTTAATCCCAGCACTTGGGAAGCAGAGACAGGCGGATCTCTGTGAGTTCGAGGCCAGCCTGGTCAACAGAATGAGTTACAGGACAGGCTCCACAGTTACACAAAGAAACCTTGTCTCAGGGGGAAAACATTTAAAAAAAAGATACCTAACATAAAATTCACCAGTGATTTATATACACACTATACGGACAGCTTGAAGGGAAATTTACACATTGACTTTAATGTGTCTATTTTAACTGTGGCTTGTTGCATGAAGCAAGGAATTTTCTACTTTTTCTCTTTGTGAGGTATATGCCCACATGTGTACAAGTACATGCACATACATGCAGTAATTTAAATCCTGGAGGCCAGATTTAAATTGCTGAATGCTTTCAATTTCAGATTCTCAGACTAGGCATGCTTAACCTGTATGTGACAGTGATTTTTTAGAAAATAGCTTCAACTGGCAACAAGATGAGTGGAATTTTTTTTGTTTTGCCTTTTATTTAACTTTTTGAAGATCTACTTTTAGCATGTAAGACTGCTTAGCTGGGTGTATAGATGTGCACCACATGCCCACCTGGCACCCACGGTGGCCAGAAGAGGGCGCTGGATCTTCTGAAACTAGAGTTACAGATAGCTGTGAGCCATCATGTAGGTGTTAGGAACTAAATCCAAGTCCTCCACAAGAGCAACAAATACTCTTAACTGCTGAGTCATCCCTCCAGTCCAATATTTTTGTTTTAAAATATAAAAACAATAGGACAAGTTTGAACAAAATTTTAACAAAAATTTCCTTAGAAAAAGAAAATGTGGTATTTATACACAATGGGATTGTTTAGTCATAAAGGAAAATGAAAACATGTTACTTGCAGGAAAAGGGATGGACTAGAAGATTACCATACTGAGAGAATTAAGCTAGTTTCAGAAATGAATCTTCCAATTGCTCTCATATGTGGATCATAAATTTTTACAGATACATAAAATCATGTACATATATATGACTTGAAAGTAAAGCAAAAATGTCTAGGGGAACAATGGGAATTGATTAATGAGGAGGAGGGTAAGAAACAGGCAAGGTAGGAAAGTATGGGGGAGCATGCTCACTATGTAATACACACTTGTATGAAAATGTCCTTATGTAATACAGCAAGCACCATGTACAATGAACATATATAACAAAAACTTCCAAAACTAAATTATGTGTTTCTTTCAATACTAGTTCATATTTACTAAGATACAAACTTAAAGCTTTTATCCTTGGGGCTGGAGTGATGGTTCAGGGGCTAAGAACATTTGTTCTTTTGTGTGTGTGCGTGTTAGAAAACTGGTTCTTTTTTTAATTTTTATTTATTTATTAAAAATTTCCACCTCCCATTTCCCTCCCATTCCCCCCACCCTCCCAAATATTTGTCCTTCCAAAGGACCCCAGTTTGATTCCCAGCACACAACAAAGCAGCTCTCAATCATCTGTCACTCCAATTCCAAAGCATCCAATGCCCACTCTAACTTCCTTGGGCTCCTGTATGCACACAGTGCACATATATACAACCAGATACACACAAATACATAATGTTTATCCTGGTTCCCCACTTTAAAGTATTTTATTCTGTTGTTTATTATTCAAAATATCATTTTCAGTGATGCCTCATTTTCCATTGTTAGATATAATGCATATTTATGCACAGGGCTCTGCACATGTTGAGTAAAAGCTCCATCTCTGTGTTATAAATCCTGCAAAACAGACCATAATTTATGTAATAACTTGGTCTACAGTCTGGCAAATAGGACCCACTCAATACATTTTTTACTAAATTATTGAGACTAATCTTCATTTTTAGTGTTCATCTGCTCAAGATGTAGTTCACTTGGTAAGGAGTTTGCCTAGCATGCACAAAGTCCTGGTTTTAAATACAGATTTGGTGGTCTAGACCTGTAATCCCAGCACTCTGGTAGTAGAAACAGGAGGATCAGAAGTTTAAGACCTTTTTCAGCTACATAGTGCATAGACGATACATGAGACCTTAGCTTGGATGGATGGATGGATGGATGGACGGACGGACAGACAGACAGACAGACGGGCGGATGCATGGGTGTATGCCATTCCCATTCACTTATGTCTTGTCCACAGCTAGTTTGAAACTACACTAGTTGTAAATGGGATAGTATGGCCGTCATATGTAAAACATTTACTTCTGGGCCTTTAAGGAAAGTTTGTCAACACTTGCTCTCAATAACCAAAAGTGAAAAAATCAATTATAGCCGGGTATGGTGGTTTATGACTTTAACCCCAGCACCTGGGAGACAGAGGCAGGTAGATCTCTGTGAGTTCAAGGCCAGCCTGGCCTACAAAGTGAGTTCCACGATAGCCAGAGCTGCATAGTGAGATCCCTGTCTCAAAAAAGAAAAAGTCAACTATTTAATGGAAACAGAGAAGGAACAGAGCTGGAAAAAGGCCCAGCAGATAAAAGCTCATGCTGTGCAAACCTGATGGCTTGAGATTAATCCCTAGACCTAACAGTGGAAGGAAAGAACCAATCTCCAGACCGCCGATCTTGGCCTGTTCACAGTGGTAAGTGCACAACCACACCTGCACATAAGAATCACAGCCACGCACATGCATGCATGGGCACACACACATACAAATCATACATGAAATTTTTAAATGATATTCTTTTAAAAATTGACATATTAGTAGTCGTTGCCCTATAATCTGAAGTATAACATATTCTATACTGCTTTTTCTGCACTTAGAAATGGATTGAGATAGACTCCAAGTGTAATTATAAGAAGAAGAAAAAATTAGATTTTGGTACAAATTCATTACCTCCCACCCCTAGGATATGAACCATTAGCAACACTATTCATCATGTTGAATACAAAATGAGCGCCACACAATGGCTGGCCTCAGGCTCCAGCCAGTATCACAGTGAATCTGACATTCTCCTTTAATCACATCTAGAAAGGAAAACTCCATATGCAGTCACCATCGGAGTTGCCTTGATGGCAAATATTTAACTGCCACGTCTGAGTCACCACAGCGTCAGAATCCTATCAAACTCAATGGAAATGACTTTTTAAAACTATTTCTTTTAAATGCTAAATCCTGCTGCTATCCATGATGACTCACATCTATAATCCCAGCACTGAGAAGGCAGAAATATAGCAAATTCAAGGCTCTCCTGGACTATGCAGGATACTGTCTCAAACAAGCGAAAAAATAACAGAAAATGAGGTCAGAGAGGACTCAGCAGGTTAAAAGCATTTGCTGCTTAAGCCTGATGACCTGAGTTTGATCCCTGGAACCCACAGTGGAAGGAGAGAACCAAGTCCTCAAAGCTGTTCTCTGGCATTCAGTGCCCACCACGGTGGGTACACACCCAAACTCACACAAATGCATTATAAACACAGCATAATTTTTAAAAATTTTTCAAGAAAAGAAAAAAACTTTAGAGCCTTTCTCCATGTTTGTTGAGCTGGGTCATATTTACACAAATGTAGTCACTTAGGGAAAAAACCTAGAGGGGCTGGAAAGTCATCTCAGTGATTAAGAATGCTTGCTGTTCTTGCAGAGGACCTGAGTTTGGTTCCTACCACCCACGTGGCAGCTCAAAACTGTAAGTCCAGTACCAGGAGACCCAAGGCCCTCTTCTGACCTCCAAGGGCCCTAGGCGCATATGATACATATACATACATGCAGACAAAATGCTCATACACTTAATTAAATAAACCTTTTTAAAAAAATCATAGAAACATTGCTCTCATTTTAAAAAGCCAGCCATGATCAAGCAAAATAGCTCAGCAGGTAAAGTTTGCTGTTGCCAAGTCTGATGCCCTGGGTTCAATATACTTAACTCACATGATAGAAAGAGTAACTTAACTAACTCCAGAAAGTTGTCCTCCAACCTCCACACACATTGTTGTGGAATGCACACCTACATATCATATACACACAAAATAAATAAAATGTAAGGGGCAGAAAATGGCTCAGCACGTAAAGGTACCTGCTGCCCAGACTAACAAGAAGAGTACAGTCCCCAGGAGCCACATGGTGGAAATGGTCAATCAACCCCCTCAAGCTGTCCTCTGATTTCCACACATGTGCCTCGACATGTGGATACACACACATTTAAAAAAAATCTGTGTCTTAAAGCAATAAGAGAAAATACTTCATTTAAAAGGAGGCAGGAGAAATGGCTCAGTGGTTAAATGCACTCCTTGCTCTTCCAAGGACCCATATCAAGTAGCTCACACTTTCCATAATTGTATCCCCAGGAGACACAACACCCTAATCTGGCCTTTGAGGGCTCCCACAATACATAGTATTCATTCACAATGACATGCACATAAGTAAAAATGATCAAATAAATCTTAACAAAATTCAAAATAAAACAAGCTAGTTCTAAAAGACCACATACTACATGGTTCCTTTAATTTTTACAAAAAAGTAATGAACATGTTCTAAAACTGACTATGCTGATAAATGCATTTACCTATGCCTACACAAAAAAAAATCAATGAGTTATATGCATTATCTTGCAAGTTCTGAGTATTTTTGAAACGTGATTTTGTTGGCTGTCTTATTTTCTGTTGTTTTGATAAGACACCACGATTAAGGCAACTTAGAGAAGAAAGGGTTTGTTTATTTAAAGCGTGTGCCACCACCACCTGCCCTGAACTTTTTTTTTAAATGTGTACTGTGTTCTGACTACATTGTGTGTCTAGACAGAACATGTGTGCAGTGCCTATAGAGGCCAGAAGAGTGCACCTGATCCCCTGAAACTGGTAACAGATCAACACTAAAGACAGTTTTGATCTACTGTGTAAGTGTTGGGAATTGAATCCATTTCCCACGAAAGAGCAACTGAGCCATCTCTCTAGCTTCATAATTCAACTCTTAGATTGTTACCTTCATGTGATTTCTTTAATTCCCTTGCTACATTTTTACATTACTAAACCATAGAAAGCTAAATTTTTAGCCTAGGAAGTTTGGATGGGGCGGTGGTGGTGCACGCCTTTAATCCCAGCACTCGGGAGGCAGAGGCAGGCAGATCTCTGTGAGTTTGAGACCAGCCTGGTCTACAAGAGCTAGTTTCAGGATAGGCTCCAAAGCTACAGTGAAATCCTGTCTTGAAAAACCAAAAAAAAAAAAAGACCACTTGTTGCTTGCAGAGTACACAGGTTCAATTCCCAGTACCCATATGGCAGCTCACAACTGTCTATAACTCTAGCTCCAGGGGATCCAACACACTCTTCTGAACTCCATGGGCATCAAGCCTTCAGGCAGAATAAAGACATATATGTGAACAAAACATTTGTAGAAATAAAATAAGTAAATCTTTAATAAAAATAAACCTATTCCTACCTAGAACAAGGCAAGAAACAAGATGTAGCATGAATTTTCATATGCATGAATTCTATTCCCAAAGTGAGAGGAATTCAGTCAGGTATGTATGTACATTATGTGGTCTACAAACTGATTGTCCTTGAAAATTTTCTAGGTAGTGAATAGGTTGATTTCTTGGCATTACCAATATCTTCAAAGGGATAATTATACTATTTAATCAAAAAATAAGTTATTTGCAACCTTTAAGATAGTGTTCTCCTTCTCATGGATTCTGATGTAGTTTTTGCAATGTCAAGAAAATTCAGAGTAAGTCACCCAAAGGACTCTGCTGACGTGGTTTAAAAGGGAAAATAGCAATCACTGAGCTAAATCAACAAAACTCTATCTGTACCATTATTTCCTTAAAAGAAAATATACAGCAAATACCACAGATTTGTTAATCTGTGAGACAGTGCAGCGAAGATCTCTGCTGTGTAATTCTTTCTACTTTTTGTATTCTTAGTACATCTTGAAATAAGCATGGAACACACATTAAGGGGCATGGCAATATACAGAAAAATAGTATTCAACTGAAGCGCAAGGCTGTTCAGTGTTTACTTACCAGTGCATCATCTTGCAAGGAAGCAAAAAAGAAGCCATAGAGCAAATTAATTTGCTTCTTATGATCAATAAAGTCAAACATCGCGACCAACCAACGATAAAAAAGCACCTGTTGACAGAGAAAATGTGTCTTTAGAGAATGTAACTAATTGTGGAGAAAGAGCTTTAATCTCTCCTCGGCACTAGTTTAAAAGATACTAGCACCAAGTAGGATAATAGATTTTTATTTCTCAGTAAAAATTTCTGTTTGAACAGGGTCCTTGTATCAAGCTACATTGTTCTGAAACCACAGGTCTTGTACAAAGGGCCACTGCCATTACTCCATAAGTGGTTCTTCTTTGCTAGCCCTTAAGTAGGTTCTAAAGGACTTATCATCAAAGTATCTAAAAGATTACCTTGGTATTACCAGAGCACTTGCCAACACAGAGCCAAGATACCGCCTTAACCACAGAATCTTCTGATATGAGAGTTTCTGGAATCATGCACTTTAATATCCGTATGCTTATAGCATTCCCTGGGGGGAAAACACTCTAAATTAAACTGGATTTCAGTGTCTCAATTGTTCCTTTACTATGGTCATAACTCTCTAAAACAAACTAAAAAGCAAATTATTTTGTGTGTGTACGTGTCCACATGAGTGCAGACATGTGTGCCTAAAAGTATGCATCTGTATGGAAGTCAAAGCTTGATGGTATTGTCTTCCTGTCGCCTTACTTTTTCAAAATTATCTTTATTGGATGATTTTATGTATATGGGTATTTTGCCTGCACGTGTGTCTGTGTACCCTGTGCCTGCAGGGCCCACTGAGGTCAAAATAGGGCACTGGACCCCCTGGAAATGGAGTTTAAAAATGTTGTGAACTGCCATTGGGTGCTAGGAATCAAACCTGGGTCCTCTGGAAGAAGAGCAAGCGTCCTTAACCACTGACCCCATCTACCTTACTTTTTTATGTACATGGTGTTTTGCCTGCATCTATGTCTGCGTGAGGATGCCAGATCCCCTAGAACTGGAGTTACAGACAGTTGTGAACTGCTATGTGGGTACTGGGAATGGAACCCAGGTCCTTTGGAAGAACCGCCAGGACTCTTCACTGCTAAGTAATCTTAACCACTGAGCTGTCACTTCAGCCCCACTTACTTTTTGAGACAGGGCCTGTCAATGAACCTGGAACTCGCAGATTCAGATAGACTAGCTAGTCATCGAGTCCTATGGATTCTCTGGTTTCCATCTCCTCAGTGCTGGGATCACAGATACATGCCTCTACCTAGGCTTTCTCCCTCTCTCTCTCTCCCTCCCTATTTATCCATCTATCTCTCTATGTAAGGGTATCTTGTTTGCATAAGTGTATTGCTGTGTAGTTGGACCTAGCCATGCCCACTTAGCATTAAAAAACCACTCCTGGTCAAAAAAATAATTACAGATACAAATGCAATAAGAACAAATTCAGATGTTGAAAAAGACCTCTAAATGGGTCACAGTATGTTTAAAAAATGTACGTAGGCTTGGAAGAAAGAAGAAAAAGGATATAGAGAGTTATAAAAAGAAATGGTTTTTTTAAAAAAATAAAACAAAGTCTTTAAAGAGACAGAGTACAGACAGTCATAGATAAAAGGAATAAAGAAAAATGAGCCATATAAAAATAATAGATATACAGAAAGTCTAAATTATGTATATTATTGTGTTTTCTTTAATTTTTTTGTTTTTGTTTGGTTGGTTGGTTTTGGTATTTTTGAGACAGGGGTTCTCTGTAGCGTTGGAGCCTGTTCTGGAACTAGCTCTTGTAGATCAGGCTGGCCTTGAACTCACAGAGATCCACTTGCCTCCCAAGTGCTGGGATTAAGGAGTGTGCCAACACCACCTGGCCTTTAAATTTTTTGAATGTGAAAAAGCTAAGTACTAAGAGACATTTCATTGTATGGGCTGCTAAGCTAAACCAACATTTATATTTAAAAGGTATCTTGACTTCAAAATTTGGGTCTAGAGAGGCAGTGGTGCTGCACACCTTTAATCCCAGCACTCAGGAGGCAGAGGTGGGAGGATCTCTGTGTGGTCTACAGGAGCTAGTTCCAGGACAGGCTCCAAAGCTACAGAGAAACACTGTCTCAAAAAACAAAAAACAACAAACAAACAAAAAAATTGGGTCTAAGAATATGTTGCTTTGGCAAAGAGGTTCTACTTTTATTTCCACAGAGGATGAGAACCTGTGGATTCCTTCTAGACTAATGTGGTTTAATGGACAAAGACCCACCCCCGAAAGGTTGCTGTGAACACCCCGAAAAATTACTTTGCCCAACAAAAAGCAGAAATCAGTTTGGAGAGAACTACGCCCAAATTCCCAAATATTGTTTATTAATGTTTCTTTACATTTAAAGGGGGATATGCTATAGAGATCAATACTTTGCACTAGTACGGATCTTGGTTTATTGATAGAAATTTTAGGTCAATTAGTTAGGCTTTCTAGATGTACAGAGATATATTTCACATAGATAATTATTCTTCAAAACTTTCAAAGACTAGAGAATATGGCATTCAAAATATTTTAAGAACTTAGGACTTTTCATGACAGTGAGACACATCTGCTTCTGGCAGCACCGATCTACTTTAAGAGAATGATAGGCATCAAAGAGGCTCCTCATGGAGTTTGTTAGCCATTTGGACAAGAAACTGCTCTTGTCTGAACTGTTTGACTTGACTTGCAGAACCCATAGAAAAATGACTGCTGACATTGCCTAAAGAAGGTGAAATAGTCCTTCGGGGTTCCTGCTTCAGGAAAGAGTCGGCCAGACATTCTGCAGGACACAGAAGAAAGTGACTGACAAACTGCTAATATAGGCGGAACTGTCTTTGAAATTTCCTGCTCATGGACAAGTCTACTGGATACTATGGGTCTATAGGCTGAAGACGCGTGCTCCAAAGATACAGAAGAACTGTCAATTCCAGAGTTTTGGAAGTTTCTGACAATACACTTCCTGTTTACTTAGGTAATATTATATCCTTTTGGAGTCTTTCATGGAGTTGAGGAATAGATAGTTAAAGTTATAGTTTTCCTTAGTTATGATAAAAGATAAAGTAGGTATAAATGTTCTAACTTTAATTCTTGCTTGATATCTGTTTTGTTATATGTAATTTTACTATGTTAAAATTAAAATCTTCCTTTTTATTTAGACAGAAAAGGGAGGGGATATGGAAAGTCCTTCTGTATATGTGTTGCTTTTATTGGTTAATGAATAAAGAAACTATTTGGTCAGTGGCTTAGCAGAATAGATCTAGGTAGGGAAAACTAAATTTAATGCTGGGAGAAAGAAGGTGGAGGTATAGACCTGTAAACCTAGTACTCAAGAAGTGGAGGCAAGAGGATCTTAAGTTTAAGGCTAGTGTGAGCCATGTAGCAAGACATTGTCTCAAAAAGAAGAAATGAGAAAAGAGCTTCCTTTTAAGGTAATTAAAATAATTAGTAATTAGATAATTTTGGCGAATGCTGGACTCATTGAATATGCAAAAGCTACAATGTGGATGCTTTTTCCATTACTAGGGCTTAAACCTAGAGCCTCATGCATGTTAGGCAAGCCCTCTTACTGTGCCACATCCTCACTCCAATACATTCCATTTTTAAAGCATCATGAATTTTAATAGTATGTGAATTACACTTCAACATTAAAAAGCCTTTCCACCCAGCAGTGGTGGCACACACCTTTAATCCCAGCACTCAAGAGACAGAGGCAGCCGTATTTCTGTGGAGGCCAGCCCAGTCTACAGAGACAGTTTTAGAACATCCAAGGATACACAGAGAAACTCTGCCTCAAAAAAGCCTTTCAATCACAAGGAACAAAGTGGCTTTCACTTTAATTTTGCAATGACACAATAGATTATTATTAATGGTTAAACCCACTGACAGGCATTTTCATGAGTTGTTGCATTTAAAAATTTTCTTCAAGGGCAGGGCATGGTGACTCAGGCTGCTGTTCTCAGAACTAGTAAGTGTAGAGGTCAGAGGCCAACTAGTGGGAGAACCGGAACTGGTTCTCTTCGTTCACTATGTGGGTCCCAGGGACTGAACTCAAGTCCTCAGGCTTGCATGCAGGTCTAATGAGTCAGCTCAAATGAATATTAAAATGAAGATAAGCTATTCTGAATGCCTGAACATGGGTGAGAGAAAGCTACAAGTAAATAGAACACTAATCAGGTGATATTTCTAAGCCTGTCCTGTACTTAGGATAGGAAACACAAAAGAGAAAAGCATCTTAACTACCAGGATCAGAGATAATGGAATAAAGACAGTATAAATAGGAACTTGTCAGGTAAATAAACCTAAAGCAATGAAACATACTTGATCCTTTAAAGTCCCTCTTTGAAAAACCTCCAATGACATCAAACACACACATGGTATACATACATACATTCAAGCAAAAACACTCATACACATAGAATAAAATAAACAAATCTTTAAAAAAAAAGCCTGGGTGTGGTGGTGCATATCTCTATTCCCAACACTTGAGAGGCAGAGGCAGGAGTATCAAAGCAAATTTAAGATCACCCTCATCTTCTTAGCAAATTCTAAGTCAACTTCAGGTATCTTTTTGTGTCTCTCTGTGTGTATGTACTTCTTTTTGTTTTCTGTTTGCTTGTATATTTTGTTTATTTGCCTGTTTGTTTTCTTTCTTTTTTTTTTGGTTTTTCAAGACAGGGTTTCTCTGTAGCTCTGTCCTGGAACTAGCTCTTGTAGACCAGGCTGGCCTCAAACTCACAGAGATCCGCCTGCCTCTGCCTCTCGAGTGCTGGGATTAAAGGCGTGCACCACCACCACCCAGCGCATGTTTGTGAGAGAGAAAGAAGGTATGGAGTGGGACAGGTGGGAAGTGGGAATAATATGGGAAGAGATGAAGGAGGAAAAACCATGATTAGAATATACTGTAGAAAAATATTATTTTCAATAAAAAACAAAAGCAAAACAGACACAGTACATTTTCTTTGGAAAGAAAAAAGAAACAAAACCCAAAAACTGTCTAAATGGCAAAAACTAACAGGAAACTAATGACAAATATATCAGTTCAACATACCAAACTTGCCACTGAGTGCCACATTTAGTAAAATATCAATTGCTTCTGGAGCTAAGCCATTTTTCCAAGCCACGTTTTCCACAGATTTCAAGTGTTTTTCCAACATTGTATTTTTATTGAGTGAAGTTTTCTTGGGACCTGGAAAAAGAAACAATATTAAACAAGTAGACCTTGGACAATCTTTCAGTGCTCATCCTCAATAATTACAACCTAGGGACTCATTAAAGGAATAGATTTATGCAATAACTGTCTTCCTCTAAAAAAACAAAAAATAAAACAAGCAAATTAAAAACCTTGAGAACCTATATATTACTCAGTGCTTAGCAACAATAGAATCTTCAGTGAAGAAAACATCCCTCATGCCCTGACAGCTCAGTATATATTGAAATATACTATATCACAATGTATTATATACTATAGACAAAACAAAACATCTCTCCAGCATAGTGGCTGGAAGATACTGTGATCACCTCAGAATCTTTACAAAATACTAATACTTAACATGTACTCTTAAGACATCTGATTTTGTTGATATGGGATATATATATATATATGTGTATACACACACACACACACACACATATATATATATATATATATATATATAAAAACAAACATTCAACTTTAATTAAATCCTCTTTCAATATTAGGACAATTCCAAAATTTTACTAGAAACCTTTATTTGTGTATATACATGAGCATGTGTGTACCTATGAGTGTGTGAGCCATGTGTAAGGTTGAGTGTGAAGGAGAATTTGATGCTAGGAATCTTCCTCTATCACTTGCCACCTTATTTTTTTGGAGACAAGGATTCTCAGTGAACTTGGAACTCACCAATTCAGCTAGACTACCTGGCCAATAAGCTACAGGGAGTCTCCTATCTCTGCCACCCCAGTGTTGGCATTACAAGCACATAAACCATGCCAAGATTTTTACATACTTTGAACTTAGGTCCTTATACCTACAAAGCAAGCTCTTCTTCAACTGGACCATCTCCCTAGCCTACCTAGATGTCATTCAAAAGTCACAGTGCCAGGTTACATCCCATAGCAACAAAATCAGATGTCTAAGAATAAATGATAAGAATTAGTATGTTTTAAAGATTCTGAAGTGATCACAGTGTCTGCTAACCACTATGCTAGGAAAATGTTTTGTTTTGTCTATAGTATATAAATGTTGTCATATAGTAAATTCTCGATAAGTGACTATTAGATAAAAATTTGAATAAACAAAAACATCTTTCCCTTTAAAAGCATTTAAGGCTGGACATGATGGTGTGCACCTTTAATCCCATCAGTCAGGAGGAAGCAACAGGAGGACCTCTCTGAGTCTGAAACCAACCTGGTCTACAAAGCAATTTCCAGGACAGCCAGGGCTACCCAGTGAAACCTTATCTCAAAAAAAAATCTTTAAAAAAGACAAAAATTATTTTTGGACAGGTTCCTACTCTTACCTGTCTTACTCCCCGTGTTGGGATTACAGATATGTCTGCCACTGTATCCAGCAATTAGGACCGAAATATTTTTAGAGAGAAATAGGAATTTCGGGGCTTGGGCTGGGGTTGTAGCTCAGATTCGAGAATGCTGGGTTCTACCACCAGCTCCACATAAACCAGGCATGGCAATGCACACCTGTAATCTTAGCAATCAAGTTAGAGGCCACCCTCTGCTGCATAGTGAGTTCAAGGCCAGCCTCAGATACATAGAGACCGGTCTCAATAAAAACAAAAAAAGTAAATAAAATAAACTGCACTTTCATAAGGAAAATCATCTGCCTTTACCTTTCTGGAAGTATCCTATTGCTATCTGCAGGTCATCTTCGTCTTGATCATCAGCATGTTTAGGATCTTCCATTGAACTACTTTCTTTCAAGACACTCTCCGAGTTGCCCGATTTCTCTTTTACCTTCCAGGCTAAGAGACTGGTCTGAAAAGTATTACTACCTTGAGAAATTCTGTTTTGGAGCTCAGAGCTTCTGGTTTTCCTTTGAGTTGCCATCACTGTATATATGTTCTAAACAAAAATGAGTACCAAGTTACTATTACCCAGCCAGAGACAATGACCATATTTGTCTGCATTCCCATGTGCAACAGGTATTCAATGACAGGAGACAATTAACCCATAGGCTTTTTTAGAAAGTCCTTGACCTGAACAGCAATAGATTCATAACTTGCCAATGTAATATATATTAGCTAAACTTTTAAAATGGCTATATTTTTAAGTACAAAACCATCCCATCTCATAATTGCAATATTTTCCTACTCCTATTTTATCTACCCCTCCTTGATTTTGCTTTCGATCTTTACACTGTCTTTTTTTGCCAGTAGTATGTTAAAACTGCACAGTTAAAAAAGCTAACTAGGGCTGGAGAGATGGCTCAGAGGTTAATAGAACTGACTGCTGTTCTGAAGGTCCTGAGTTCAATTCCCAGCAACCACATGGTAGCTCACAATCATCTGTAATGAGATCCGGTGCCCAGATCACTATATTCATAATAAATAAATTTTAAAAAAAGCTAACTAATGCCCAGGGTAGCAATATTATCCATTTATTAATTCACACATTCAATAAATACTATGCATCATCATCTTTATGCCAAACACAGTCTAGTTACCAGGGCTGTAAAAATAAAACATCATGGTACCTGAATTCATGAACCCTATACTGGGGGACAGGGGTTATAAACCAAGGACCCAGTAAGTAACAAGTGCAGTGAAGTGACAGAAATGAGGTGGAGTAGGAATCTAATTTTGAGTAGGTGTCCAGAGAAAGCCTCTTGTGGTGGTTTGAATGAGAATGCCCCCCCAGGCCCATATATTTGAATACATGATCCCCAGTTGGTAGAACTATCTGGGAATGACTAGGAGGTGTGGCCTTGTTTGAGAAAAATGAGTCACTGAGGGTGGGCTTTGAGACTTCAAAACTCCACACCATTCCCACTTAGTTGTCTGCCTTGTGCCTGTGGATAAGATATAAGCTCTCAGCTACTGTTCCAGGACTGTGCCTGTCTACCACATGATTGCATGGGTTCTGCTACCCCATGTAATAGTTAAATCTCAAATTAAATGTTTTCTTTTATAAGTTGCCTTGCTCATGGTGTCTCTTCACCAAGAAAGAAGAAAAGTAATTAAGACAGCCCTCTTTCGTGACCCTTAAGGAAGATGAAATCTAAGTGCCAAGAAGGAGTGGGCCATTTGAAGGTGCAGGGGAAGAGTATTTGATGAGAAGAAAAATGGAAAACATCCAAGCAAGAAAGAAATTTGCATATTAATGAAAACATGTCAACACCAGTGTGAACAGTTTGGATCAAAAGAGTTAAAGTGTAAAGTGAGAGTCAGAACTGTAACAGGGGAGATCATATTGGGTCTTATAGGCAAAGAGTAAGGACTCTGACTTTTCAGTATCAAATCACGGGAGAGGAAACGTAAGACCATTTTTCTTTTCTGTAATGTAGAGACTAGAGTTCAGAAGTGTTGAGAAACCACTTACCAGGCTTTGCCAAAGAAAGCAAATGACTGGCCAGCAGTAGGTCTAAGTAGGGTAAAAAAAAAAAGACTCACATGTCCTATGAGATACTCGGTGCAGGAGCATATATACCTGGGTAGACTGTTAAAAAGATAAAACAAAGAATTAGACACAGATATGAGGGAAACCAAGAATAACTAATAAGGAACCAAGACTGGCTTCTAAGTTTTTATCTTCAAGTAGGAAAATCTACGGGAACAGATGAAATGACATTCAGTCTCTTCCCCCTAGAACAGATGAGACCAGGGCAAGAGAACACATAATAAGTTCAAGACAGAAGGAGGGGAGGTCTGGTGACAAGAGCATCCTACTTAAGAAGGGTCAGGAAGCAGATTAGGACCCCCACTGGGCGAACTGCTCCAGCGCCACGGGGTGGTTCAATTCGTGGCCCTCCCTCCCCACCTAACAGCGAAACAGGCAAACAACTCCCCGACTAGGCCTATTCCTGAGACCACAGAGGAAAATCTAATGCCGGTTTCCCTTTTCAGAGTTAGTTTTACCCTCGCCGGTCGCGGTATTGCAGATCTCAGTGCCACCCTGGTCGGAGTCGCCCAGCACCTCACCCTAAGAACTTCGGCACTGGTCCTCTAGCTCCCAAAAGCCGCCTCCGAGATTCAAAGGCGCCAGCCCCGCCCCGCGCATGCGCTTCGGGGGAGCCCGCAAAGGCGGGGGAAGCGAGTTCAGCCGAAAACTAATTGGTTTGAGTGCAGCTTTGAGGCGGGAGGTGGCGCGCGCGCCAGCGGAGAAAGACGCACCTCAATGACGCAAAGTGACTGGCCCCACCCACGGAGGCCTGGGGTACGCCCCAGCTGGCAGTCGCTACTGGAAGTCAGTTGATTGACCGGTGGTGGTCTCCGAGTTCTGGGGTTTGCAGCGGTCATTGTGAGTGGAACAGTGCTAAGTGACTTGGCATTGAATTTTACGTGGTAAAGTGTGGTTTTCATTTTGCCCACATTGACCCCAAATGTCGGGGCTTGGAATCTGCAGAAAAATGTAAAACTGAAAACTTGACAATAAAGGCGGTTTTTCCATATGTTGTGACTTAAAGGGTCTGTCGCTTTCCTGTGGAGTTCGAGGTGGAGGTCGGGGGAAATGGACAGTAAGAGAAAAATCACAAGATCTGCCTGCTTTTGACAGAAGATGGGTACAAATAAATTTACTAAAAACAGCCAGGCGGTGGTGGCACATGCCTTTAACCCCAGCATTTGGAAGGCACAGGCAGGCAGATCTCTGTGAGTTCGAGGCCAGCCTAGTCTACAGAGTGAGTTCCAGGACAGTCAGGGCTACACAGACAAACCCTGTCTCGAAAAAATAAAAAATTCTGGGTCAGCTATTAATCCATCTTGAAAGTGGCTGTCAACGTGTAAATATTCCTAACCTTGAAGAACAAACTGACCTTAAACTAGCTAAAGCAGCAATAAAAACTTAGTACATGATCTAACTTTAGCCCCTAATTTAATCTCTACTGAACTAGGAATAAAAGCCAGAGTGGAGGCTCAAGCCTGTAATCCCAGCACAGGAGAGACTGGGGGAGAATGACCACCGAAGGAGGACTGTCTGAGCTACAGTGTGACCTTGTCTTAAAAAAGAAAAAAGAAAGTTAGGAATAAAGGAGGAATTTATAAATGTAATGCCTCTCAGCGACTTGAGGCCATAAGATTATTATGAACTTTATGCAAAATTCTACAGGAAAAACTTGCCATCTCAGACAAGCATAAATAACCGAGGGTTAACTTGAAGTATTTGATATAGACTACAGCAAAAACGACTACCACATCTAACATGGTTTTAGAGTAGTTTGACAAACTCATTTACTCATGCATAAAAATTGAGACTGTCCATTTTTTCTGATAGCTGCTCTTTAGCAAAATTGAAATTTTTATTGAGCCATTTTTCATGCATTTAATGATTTAATACACTCAAATAAGTGTAAACTGGACAGGATTGAAGGCTTCACCCTCCTTTTCGCAGATGAAATGGTACCCTAAGTGATGAAATAACTTACTTAACGTGACAAATTTGTGACAGTACAGCTTGTCACTTTGTGGACACAGTGTAGTAAAAGACACTGCTTCATATTTATTTAATGAACCCTTGGGTTTTTTCTGAAATAATATTTCATTTTTTCCTCTGACTCACTCAATAAAGGCCTTCCTAAACCTGGAGATAGTATTGGGATCCTAAGGCTTTACCCTAAGACTCTAAGGCTTCTCCTCTTACATGGTAACATCAAAAAAGCATGAAGGAAGCCGGGCGGTGGTGGTGCACGCCTTTAACCCCAAGCACTCCAGGAGGCAAAGGCAGGCAGATCTCTGTGAGTTCAAGGCCAGCCTGGTCTACAAGAGCTAGTTCCAGGACAGTTAGGGCTGTTACACAGAGAAACCCTGTCTCGAAGAAAAAAAAAAGCATGAAGGAACTTAAAAGGATGTGCACGTTAGCAGCCTTATTTGTATACTGAAACTATTAACACCCTTTTCTTCTTCATCTAGTCTTTTGTTTCTTTAAGAGCTTGGAGCTAGGTGTGGTGGCACATACATTTAACCCAACACTCAGAGGGCAGAAGCAGATGGATCTCTCTGTGTTCCAGGACTGCCAGCGCTACATAGTGAGATCTTATTTCAGAGAAGGGGAGGTGCAGGTATCTGGGCTAGGTGTAATGAGTGACACGGGCCTAGATGCCCAGTATTTGTGAATTAAAGAAAGAGAATCTCTACTTTGAGGCCAGTTTAGGCTATACAGTGAGACCTTGCCTTAAAACAAACAAACACCAACAACAAGAAGCTCAAGAAATTCACACGAACAGAAGACTCTGAGTCCCTTGTTTATGGGAACTTTTCTTTCCAGATATCCACACCATGTCCTCCAAATTTCAAAAACCTTTATTTTGAAAGAACAAGCGAAAGAAAACAGTTAGCAATTACCAAGGACAATGACACTGAAGAAAATACAGTAAGTACTGTTCCCGCACACAGCCCGTGCCCCCTTTCCCATCCCTGGCACAACATTAAAACCATCAAAGCACATTTGACAAAGAAACAGCAGTATGTAACTACAAAAGCAAATTTCCATACTGCTCAATCCAACTAAGCCATGTCAAATGTCCTTCCCCTAGCTAACTCCACCTGCTGGAATGCTGAAGAGATGTAAAACAGACACTTCTGGGGGTATTTGGGACTCTGTTAAACATTCACAAAGTTCGGTGACAAATCAATAAGAGTAGAGGACTCCTCTGATAGGTAAACACTGGATACAGCTTTCCCATCCAATTTCAGGTTTCAGAAAACCGCTAGGGCTGGAGATTCAAACTTTAAAGAGGACCAATCGCTAGCCCCCGGTGGAAACTGTGGGGAAGCTGTCAGGCCCTGCCTGGTTGGCTACTGAGAATAGTGAAAGTGAGGCAGCTTTGGGCTTAAAACCAAATTTGGCTGTGTCTAGTAAAAGACTGTTAATTAAATTTCAAACTGCTAGCCAAAGAGCTCAGTCGCTTGGACTCAAACAAAGGCGAGGAGAGACTTCCTACTGTGCCGCTTGAAGAAGCACACTATCTATTGCCTGCACATATCCCCTGTTTGAATTAAACTTGATGTTGAGTGTTTCGAACTTAAAAGCCGAACTAGAAGCTAATTAAATTGAAGAAACTCTTCTTGTAAAATGGTGAGTTTAAGTTTACAGCTTAATGCAGAGAGGGAGTTCCACCCCACGTGGAAATAGGTTCTTTCTTTTCTGCTAGAATAGGATTCTCGTACCAGGAGGGTTCCCTATTCTACATTTGCTGGAATCAATTTATAAAGGGAAGGATACCTGTGCAGGATTAGTTCAGAGCCCCCTCTTCCACACGTGCATGTATACTCACACACATGGCAGTTCAATCCATTCCCCCCACACAGAATCTCACAGTCACGTGCTTGCTGGAGTCCACCTCACAAACACAGCTCAATAGTAGCCACACACATGTACATGCAGCAACATGTGAGCGTTGTTCCAGGGTGACTAAAGGCGGTGCACGAATGTCAATGTGGGGAGGTCATTTTAGGGTATAGATGTACACAAGCCAATTAACTTGCAGTTTGTACTTTTTGCTTTTCCCCTAAGAACAATAAATCAAATGAAAAACACACACTGATATCTTCTTGGGTGTCAGGGAGGCAACTGCCTAGAAGGTCCACTTTTTGCACTTCCATTTTCCTAAGACACTTTCACTTTGCCCTGCGGGGCCTTCTCATATAAGGAGGGCTGCTCTTCTGCGCTCTCAGGCAAGGCCTTCTTCTCAGAACGGTCTTCCGGCTTGCGCGCAATCAGCAGGCGGCAGGTGAGCAGGATGCCGAACACCAGAGCGTGCGCATAACGTTTGAGAGGGTCGCCGACCAGCTGGTGGAAGAAGAGCACAACCAACACCAGCAACAGCAGGAAGAAGTTGGCCACATCTTTGGGACGCCCAGGGACCAGGGTCATGACGATGCCATAGGCCACTTCAAGAGCGCCAATACTTTTTCGAAGGATAATGGAGTTGATGCCCAGTTTCCTCAGCACAGGAAGGGCTCGGACATAGCTCTTGTATGCACGTTTCTAGAATAGGGATAGCATAAGGAAATCAATGCATTAATCACAATTTTAACAGCCAAATCAAGAAAACACCAGCAAGGGTCTGTTTTCCCTTTTTACACGAGCCAAAAGTATCTCATTTTTACCCTGTTCCTTAAATAAAACCTTGTGAATAGGGAAAAGAGGAGGCAATCTGTTTGGAATCTCTGTGATTAAAAACTATAAAAAGTATGGGACTGGAGTTTCTTCCCTCTGTTCTTCTGAAGAGGCAAGCAGGTCTCTCTGTCTCTCTCTTTCCTTCCCTTCACCCTTCTCTCAATAAACTCCTCACTTAAGCTCAAAGAAAAAGTATGGGACTGGAGAGATGGCTCAGCAGTTAAGCTGTGTAAGGCTTGGTGGCACTTGCTTTTAGCATCAACACTTGGTGGGGACTAAGACAGGCTGATCTGTGAGGTCAAGGCCAGCCTGGTCCATATATTGAGTTCCAGGACAGCCAGGATTGCATAGTCTAGAGACCCTGTCTCAAAACAACCACAATAATTAAAAGAGCACTGGGTACTCTTGCAGGGGACTTGGGTTGGATTCCCAGCAGCCACATGGTGGCTCATAACCTTTTCTAACTCTAGTTCCATGGGGACCTGCGTCTTCCCGCTTCTGTGGCGCTGCACAAATGTGCACAGACACATACAGAAAAAGCTCTCATACACATAAGAAAATTAGAAGAGGCCATGAGACCACTAAGGCCCTCAGCTGCCCCATCCCTGCTAGCACATCCACCTTGGATTTAGCTTCCTGAACCGTAAAAATAAATGCGGGTTGTTCACAAACTGCCAGTTTGTAATATTTTGTTATGGCAATCTGAATGGATGAAGGCACTAAAAGTAATAACTCAGCAAACCTGGTTTCATAGTATTTTTTACAAGTTGCTGCCTGTAAATTACTAAGGAAATAAAAGAAATTCATTGAACCATAAAATTGGTCCAGGCAATCCATATCCATACTTTCTAGCA